GTGCATCATCCCCCAAACTGCATCCCCCCAAACTGCATCCCCCCAACTGCATCATCCCAAACTGCATCATCCCCAAACTGCATCATCCCCAAACTGCATCCCCCACAAACTGCACCCCAACAAAAACTGCATGCCCTGACCCAGGATGCCCACAAAAGCCAACTGCAGGGCAAGCAGCTGCTTCCTTAATTCAGATTATTTTAGGAAGTAGCGTGACGCCGGCGTCAAACTGAAATTCAGGTGGAGGAAGCGCTCTGGATCAGTTCGGGCTTTAAAATAGCCCCGGTTCCTCCGCCCCCATGAGGGAGTAGGCGTCGCTGCTCCCCTTCAGCGGGTGAAGGGACGCATGGGGACTGAGATCGCTGCTCGATACCAAAGCTCTTGCACCCTGCACCCCTTTTTTCCCCTCCAGCCACCACGTGGGAGCTGAGGGGTCGGCAGCAGCGGGGCTCAGCGCTTCCCTGAATGGCAATATCAACATTTTAACGTGAATTCTTCCCCGTCTTTAGCATCTGCAAAGTGCAGGGTTGGGAATCTGCCTCGTCACGGGTGTGGCACCGGGATCCACCCTGCGCCGAGCGCCAGGCACAGAATTTGGGGCTTTTTGCCCCATTTTAGGGCAAGCGTGACCTTGTCCTTGCCTGGACCTGCCCACGCTCCGGGGGGAAGCGCCTGCTTTGTGGATGAGACTTTTCCAGGGAAGCGGGAATCAGCTGATGACTGCAGTAACCAAAGGAGGAACCTTGGGACATGCAGACACCCGAATTTCTCTTCCCCGTCCCCAAAGCCTGACCCAGCCCCTGACACATTTTGCCACCAAACCCTTCCCAAAATGCTTTATGGTAGATTTATTCTCCTTTCCAGTAGCAGCGGGACACGAGATCAGACCTGTGGGAGCTCAGTTGTGCTGGGATTACGAAATATTTCGGACTGGGGAGGGGCTGGAAGGGATTTCCAGCCCAAATCCTTCCTCCTGGCCACCCCCAGCACTCCCGGACATGAGGCGCTGGGAGCTGGCGGGTGCTTGGGAGCCTCCCCTTTAAATTCAGCTTTAAATAATCCTCGGGGCAGGTCCTGGCCTGGCGTCATCTTCAGTGGGAAAGGAGGGGGCTGGAAAAGTGCAGTGGGACACGGCTGCTCCCCAGGCGTGGGCCAATGGTGGCCCCGGTGCAAGGGCTCGGGCCAGGGCTGGGCAAGTCTTTTTGGGTCAAAACTCGGGCGTTTCATAACCTGCTGCGCAGCGGATGTTGAAAAAATAAAAAGTCACTTTTGCTTTTTCTCCCCCCGCTGCCGCTGAAGCCACAGCCCCGGGTGTCTCCGGTGTCGCCGAAGCCAGGAGCCGGGGCTCCCTCTAGCGAAGCCGGGGCCAGCGGATGAGCCCATGGGGTGACACCCCCCGGGGCAGGGATGAAATTGGGGTGTGAACCTGTCCCGGCTACGCTTCCCGGTGCCGATGGGCTGAGACCACGTCTCCGAGTCGCCGTCCCTCTCACACTCGACTGGAGGGGTCACATCCAGAGCCCCCTTTCCCGGTGCTCCAGCATCTCCTTGGCTGCCCTCAGCCGCAGCTCTTGGGGTCGGTGAGTGCCCGAGGGTGTTACCCCAATTTCCAGGGATAATTTGGGGTTTCCTCGGGACGGGGATGGCGGTGCCCGATGAGCTGAGGGGTTCAGGCCGTGGGCATCATCACGCTGGCATAAATCGTCCTGGGCTCCGCATCGGGGCTCGGCGTCTGCGGCAAAAAGCAGGGAAGGGAAGGGGTGGGCGAGGTGGCCTGGTTTTGGGGGTGTGGGGTGCCCCATGGCGTTCGCTCTACATGGTTTATTATTTAAAAGTATCTGTAGAAATCATGTAGAGACGGATATTTCTGAACAATATTTTGGGATTATATAGCAAAGAGCTTCGAGAAATGGTGCGACTCCCATTCAAATCCAGCAAATCAAGCGAGCACAAGAAATTTGTAAGAGAAGAACAGGTCAGATTTACAATTCTGGATTTTTCCTTGTTTTACCCAGCCCAATCAGCACAACCTTGCTAGAGGTGGCATCGAACACAGCCTAAACCCAGACGGAATCACTTTGTTGTTCGCTCTTGGTTGGTGTAAACCCCACATTTTGATTATCTAAGCAATTTAATGATGAAAAGTTAATAAAAAGGGAGTTAAAGATGCCCAGCCGGGGCATTTAGGGGGCTGGGGGGCAGCCCCTTACCTGTGCGAGGGTTGGGGGGCCGTGCAGGGCGGGCGGTGGTGCCGGGGGGCTGCGCTGGGGGCGCGGGGCCGTGTCCGGG